ATAGAAATAGGTCTTAGCATCACCCAATCCTGTTTATTGCAGGCAGTTCTTAAGGGACTTTTGTAAAGGACTGTCATGTATACCAGGACCCTGAAGCGTGCTCCGAGAGATGATGCCATTTACCAAAGCCTCCATGGTGCAGGTGTGCTGGATAAAAGGTAGTTTGCTAGTTCCTTTTACCTTTTAGAATAGAGGAAATAGAGAACACATAAGCCAGGTAGTTTTCTTAACTGCTAATTTTGAACTCGTCCTTCCAAATGTTGGGAGTTATTCACAGAAGACAAACTAATTTTAGGTTTCTTTTGTTTACTCTCTCACGGGCTTCCATCTGCTTTCTCTCTGCACACAGTAGAATTACCAAAATACAGGGACAATCACAGAAGAAACAGGAATTGCGAATACTTACACCGAACGATGGGTACTAAATTCTAAATCAGTGGTTGCCCGTATTCTCGGTTAAAATGCATATAAAGGCAATTAATGAGCCCTAACCCTAAAGCCCTTCATCCTAGAATGTTATGTTTTTTAGTTCTCAGCAATCACTCAACTTTAAAAATGGAAGGAAATGTCTAGAAAATGGTTATAATGCATTCCTTGAAAGGAGTTTTCAAACACGAAATTTAAAAAATAATAATGAGTCCCCTTCATTGAGCTGAGGTATGGTCCTTGATGCCTTAAATCATGATCTCATTAATTTTCAGTTACAACCCAGTGAGGAAGGAGTCGGTTTCGGTAGGTTCTTTAGAGAAGCAAAGCCAGTGAGGCTTCTGTGGGTGTATGAGAAAAGCCATTTTTATCAAGAAAGTGACACACACGGTTGCAGAAGTGGCTAAATCCAGTTCAGTTCAAGTCTTTGGGTGAGGTATTAAGAGGGAGAATTTTCCTGGTTGGGTAACTGCGGGGCTGATGGACCAGGAAACAGGAAGATGGGCCTGAAGAATGAAGGCCACAGGCTGGTGGATGGAGGCAGGCACAAATAAATACAAGTTCAGCAAGCCAGGCTCATGGACAGAGTTAAAGGAACCCAAGGTTGGCAGGCCATATGGCAGGCCACTGATAGGTGCCAGGGTCAGTAGGCAACATGGCAATTCTTCAGTTTCATCACAGATGATTTTTTTTTAGAGAAAAATGTTTTCATGTGTTAGTTGTGCACATTGAGCGGGCCAGTCGTTTGATTCCAGAGAACTTGACATTGATGAGGCAGCTGCAGGATCCACAGATCCTGCTGAAGCAGGAGTAAGCCATCCCCCCATCAAACTTCCTTCCAATTGTATCAGTGCTGTGACCAGCTCAGGAGGACGCACTCTACCAGTCTTCCCACAACTGTTTGGCAGCTCAGCACATCCTATCATAGAGTTGGCTCCATTATGTTAGATCACATCATCGAGGAGGCGTCCACTGCCAAGCAACTGAGAGTCCCGGCCCAGGCACATTGACACAAGCCTATCACAGCATCGTTGATTTCCGTTTTATAGAAAGGAAACTGTAGCCTAGACAGGCTAGTGAAAACGTATCCCAGGTCTCAAAAGAGGGAATGTACAATTAAATAATGAGATTTAAAATAATCGTTTTACAGGTTACCAAACTAGTTTATATTCTTTGTAAAATACAGAAACCCAAATTTTAAAAAATCTTCAGTATCCATTTATGCTTCTATGTGTGTACATGATAATGCACACTCACATATGTGCAAGCATACCTACGTGGAGAAAGCCTGGAGGACACGTGAAACTGCTGATAGTGATGGTTTCGTCTTAGAAAAGCAGGCTAAGAACATGCTAGGAATGGAAGTGATGTTCAGAAAATTCTTCAGCTTTATCTCGGAATGATCTTTCTTTTTTCAGCAAGGAAAATGTTTTCATGTGTTAGTTGTGCATATTTAAATTATTACTTTAAATTCCCTTAATGATTGGGGCTAGAAAACCACATTTCAGATAAAGTTCATCCCCATTGGCCAGCCCTTTACTTCTTTCATAAGGAGCCCTGATCACCGGTGTAGTGGGTTAAGTGGTGGTGGGCTATGGACCCCAACTGTGCAGTCTAAACCCACCAGTGGCTCTGCAGGAGAATGCGGTGGCTATTGATGCTTCCATGCAGATTATGGCTTGGAAACCCGAAGGAGCAGTTCTGCTTTGTCCAATGGGGTCATTGTAAGTCAGAACTGACCCAGGGCAACGGCTTTGCTTTGGGTTTCGTTTACCCCTTTCCTAGTGAACGCCTGCCTCTTCACCACACTCTTCACCCAAGGATGTTGAACACTTTTTTTTTTTT